CCAAGCCAGAAGGTTCTCTGCCAGGGCCCGCAGCCCTGCACTGACATTAACCAGAGCTGAGTCCACCCTGCAGTCAAGCTCCTCTCCCACATTCGGTACTCATTTTTACAGGCAAGCAAAGCTCATGTGTGCTAAGTCAAGCATTTTTAAAGAAAGAGGATTTTGAAAGATTCATTTCACAATGCTATTTCCTTTGCACTTGTTTTTCACCCCCCGCCCCATTCTCAAGGGCAGGTGCACCCGGAACCATGATGTTCGTAACATTCTCTCTCACCTGGTAACTCCCGAACCACCTGAAAAGATGCCTGACCTGAAAAGATGTCCTGTATACCATGGTTTCTTTCAGGGTTTTTGATACTGAATGAAAAAGTGATGCTGTGTGGGTTACAGTCAGACTGAAACTGGGCCATCAGCTCCCTGTCTGGGGAAATGGTGTGTTCTGGAGGAGGGAGCATGGAACTGCGTCCTGGCCTGAGTTGGGCTCTTGGGGCATAGTTGGGCAAATGGCTTCAGTTCTCTGGGTCTCAGATTTTCCCTCACAAAATAGGAAGAATGGGGAGCACTAGATGGAAGCAGGCAGGTAACTTTTGGAACTGAGGCTGTCGTCCGCCCAGGGCCCCAGTCCCCACCCACGTGGGTAAGCTGAACCTCTAAGGGGGTCTGTGACAGGACTCACATGAGCCAAAACACCTTCGTTCACCTGCCGATAACCACCCCCACTCTGGGAGCTTTGGGGGGCAGGAACAGCCTCGTACCTCCCCCCACCTGCCCCAACAGCACCAGGCACAGCAGCTGGCAGAGATGGGACGCTTAGTAGATAAATATTGGTTAAATGAATGAGTCTGGGAAGATGACGTTATGGCTACAGTTTTTCGTTGGTTTCCCTCCCAGCCTCCCGAAAAATGAGCAGAACTCAAAGGAAGAATGGCAGGTGCTAGGGAGACGGGAGTAGAGGTGCAAACAGAAACTTCAGAGGGTCAGATGTCTTCAGCTGTATGGTTATTTTAAATACATTCGATTGCTTTTTCTCTTCCCCAGGGAAAGCCTTTTTGATTTTTGATAGCTACTCAAAGCATGGGACATTTCTTTTCTTTTCTTTTTTCCTTTTTTTCTTTCCAGGACGGAGCCTAGCTCTGTCGCCAGGCTGGAAGGCAGTGACACAATCTTGGCTTACTGCAACCTCCGCCTCCTGGGTTCATGCAATTCTCCTGCCTCGGGCTCTCGAGTAGTTGGGACTACAGGCACACGCCACCATGCTCAGCTAATTTTTGTATTTTTAGTAGAGACGGGTTTGCACCATGTTGGCCAGGCTGGTCTCGAATTCCTGACCTCGTGATCAGCATTGGACATTTCTAAGCACAGTTAAGTACTTGCCCTAACATCATCCCAAAATCATGACTAGGAAAATCATGTTTCTACTCCTGTGCCCTCAGAAGGCTCTGCACTACACACGTTCTCAAAGGGAGTCAACAGCACTCTGTTTTTTCTCATGATATTAGAGTACTTGGTTTTAATTGAAATGAAATCTGTAACCCAATCTGTTTTTTTACATAAACGAGTCTAAAGACCCTGAGTGACACTGGAAGCCAGTGTCCCCTTCATAGCATTTTCTCCTGCTTATCTATTATCTACAAGGTGTGGATCTGACATATCTCCAGCCCAGCCCCTGTTGCCAGGGGCGAGGCTGTCAGGGGTAGGATCCCTACTGCACTGCAGTCCAGCCCCTCTTGCAGGGGCGAGGCTGTCAGGGGTAGGATCCCTACCGCATGCAGTCCAGTCCCTGTTGCAGGGGCGAGGCTGTCAGGGGTAAGATCCCTACCGCACTGCAGTCCAGCCCCTGTTGCAGGGGTGAGGCTGTTAGGGGTAGGATCCCTACCGCACTGCGTCTTAGCAGTCTGGCTACTCCTCTGTCTTTCCACTTACTCTCATCTCCTGAAGCTAGCATAGTGCCTAGCTCTGGGTGGCATCCAGTAAGTTCCACAAAGACCAAGAATGAGCTCCTACACTTATGAAGTGCCTGCTGTATACCAGCCACCATCTCACCATCTCATATAATCCAACAATCCTAGGACATCAACACTATGATTGTTCCCATTTTACAGATAAGAAACCTGGTGCTTAAGAGGTTCACACTGTGTGTAAGATGCACAGCTTTTGAGCAGAGCCAGGATTCCAATTGGGCCCATCAGCCTCTAGAATGTGCATCTCCACCCCCACAGTGAGGGAGTGAAGCTGCCTCGTTTCATTAAGGTGATGGAGGAAGATGGAGGAGCAGAGAGACCACAAGAAGCCAGGGACCAGACAGGGATCTATGCCCTGAAGTCTGATCACCTCTGAACTTTCAAGTTACACAAGCAGGTAAATATCCATAAGGATATTTAAGCCATTTTTGACTGACTTTTTTTTTTTTTTTTTTTTAGACAGAATCTTGCTCTGTTTCCCAGGCTAGAGTGCAAGGGTGCAATCTCGGCTCACTGCAACTTCTGCCTCCCAGGTTTAAGCAATTCTCCTGCCTCAGCCTCCGGAGTAACTGGGACTACAGGTACATACCACCACACCCAGCTAATTTTTTATATTTTAGTAGAGACGGGCTTTCACCATATTAGCCAGGATGGTCTTGATTTCCTGACTTTGTGATCTGCCCACCTCAGCTTCCCAAAGTGTTGGTATTACAAGGGTGAGCCACCACGCCCGGCCTCAACTTTTGACTGTTTTCAACAAAAGCACCAGCAAGCTGGATATGAGATCCCTTATCCACAAGTACAAATTATTTACACATGTGCTTCTTTTCTGGAGAAAAGTATTCTCTAATGAAATTTTCATTGATAATTATCAGATACTAGTTGGAAATCAAACTGTATCAGTAGATTACTTTAATCATCAGTAGGTGATTAAAAATGCATTCACATGCCTTTTTGTTTTTGTGATTTTTTCATCTTTTAACTTCTGTGTTTATTTCATGCCCCTAAGAGTTTATGAAAGTCTCCCACTCTACATCAAGACAGAGGTGACATTTATTTCTCAGTGGTGCATTCCAAGAATACTCCCTGTTTGCAAAGCCCTCTTAATGCTCATTTCTGAGCTCATTTATTTATTTAAGAGCTGCACAATCCCAGCCTTGTCCTGTAATGGAAAGAGGTTCTACCACATTCAGATAGCAATGACTGGTTTAGAAATGATTTGTTTTAGTCCAAGCCAAAGTCTCTTCTGCATCTTTGATTATGTCTAAATGATGCTCTTATCCTTAAACAGAACCCACTTTCTTAGTCCACCAGGAAGCACTTGATTTATTTACCATCCCCAGGGACAGGAGGAAGCAGGCGTCCAAAGAGTAATCACACAGCCAGGTGAGCTGCCACTGAGCTGTGGCTCAGGAGAAAGTAGTTTTAAGTGCTGAAAGGGTTTGGTGTCATGCCAGCCTGCTAGCTAAGGAACTTGCTCAGCCCTGCCTGGGAAATTAGATGGGCAGGCAAGAAAGGATTCAGAACACTTCCAAAGGGGGACATAGGCAGCTGTTATTGTCCTGGCCAGGGGAGACAGTCGTGAGGGGACAGTGCCCACACAGTGTGTGACGCGGAGAAGAGAGACCTGGGAGAGTGCAGGTACTCACAGAAACCCAGTCCTCAAGGGTAGAGTGCCTGAGGCTCCTGGATCCATAGTAAATAACTGGTTTCCCTAATGAGTGGCTTAGATGATACATTTAAGGGACAAGTACAGCCACTGAACAAGGTGGCAGCACCAGATGTCTCAGGGAAGACAGACATCTTGATTAAGTCTCTATAGGAAGAGAGATGACAACCCTGGCCCATCAGGTCCTGAGATGCCAGCACCCCAGCTATGTGGATTGAGGGGGTGCTCTCCCGAAGAGTTGGCTAGAGCTCTAAAGAAACAATTCCAGGCACAGATGCAAGATTACAATTTAATAGGATAGCTCTTAAAACTTCATTTGTTCACTGAGACCTGCTATGCACCAGACATCATGTTAGGTTCCAGAAATGCAATGAGAGAGAGAGAGGGAGAGAGAGAGTTGGGCAAGTCAGGGAGTGTGTGTTGCAAGCCTAATGACAGTTTAGGGGCGCTAAACTAGCTCCTATTCAAAGGCATGTTATCATTCCTTTCCTAAAATGAAAATATTCTTATTGAAAGCTATCCCTTTAGTTAATACTTAAACACTGGAGAGTTCAAGAAACAGACCCACCTTAGGGTTTGGGAAGCCTCAGAGTAGCTGGATTCAGCTTCTGAGATTCTCTGAAACAGATTCTATAGATGTGGGACCAGGGCCCACACCTCCTGCGTGACAGGATAGCCACAAGCATCCTCAGCTTCCCTCAGTTCCAACCCCACTTCCTGGTTTGTTCCATGTGGATCTCTGCCACTCACTGTGACATGTCCTGCAATTTGCATTTGAGGCCACAGGGTCCACCTACTTCTCTGTGGATGGAAGCGGGTGGGGAATCCCAGAGGAATTAAGGTACCAGGCCTCTCCAGAGCTGTAGCTTGCAAATACTAAACAAAACAGACCAGAGATTGAGAAGCAGAGGGAGCGAGGGAAGAGACATAATGGCTGGAATCATTCCTAGTCTCCACTCCAAAGATCTAAATTCTCTGGTGGGCCCAAAGTCTGCATTTTTAACGTCCAGGTGATAGTGATGCAGGAAGTCTTGGAAGCCCGTGGCCTGAATGGCCCACAAGCCAGAAAATTAGCCCCTGCATCCCATTTGGTTTTACATAAAGTAAGAAAGTCTGTGGATGGCCACTGGGACAGAAAGGTGAAAATAGTTTCTGTGGGGACCCAGGATCGCTGAGTCCCAGTCCTGGCTCTGTCCATACTGACAATATTGACCCAGTTGTCAACTCCTGTGATCTCAGTTTTCTTACTAGAAAATTGGGTAAAATAATCTCTAATCAAACTGAGAAAAAAAAGACTAATAGTTACACAAAAACATATGAAAGTATAAAACTCATAGATAAGAGTAAGCACACAGCATGGTGGCATGTACCTGCAGTCCTATGTACTCAGGAAGCTAAGGATTGCTTCAAGTCCAGGAGGTCAAGACCAGACTGGACAATGTAGTGAGACACCATCTCTAAGGAAGAAAGAAAAGAAAAGAAAAGAAAAAGAAAACTAAGCACATAGTCAAATTCAGAATACATTAGTAGTGGAATGGTGGTATATAAATGATTTAGTATCAAGGTTAAAAGCCAAAACTATTAAAAATATAATAGCTACAATAATTTGTTAATGGATATACAATAAAAAAGATGTAAATTGTGACATCAAAAACACAAAACGTAAAGGAGGTGGAGTAAAAATACAGTTATTTTATGCAATCAAAGTAAAGTTGTTATCAGCTTAAAATAGCCTGTAATAATTATGAGATGTTTTATGTACATCTTATGGGATCCACAAAGCAAAAAACCTATAGTAGATACACAAAATATAAAGAGTAAGTTATTAAAGCATAGTACTAGAAAAAAGGTCATCTAATCACAAAAGAAGACAGCAAGAGAGGAAGAAAGGAACAAAGAATCTACAAAACAATTAGAAAAACAGCAAAGAATTTGTATTAAGTTATTATCTATCAATAAGTATCTTGAATGTAAATTGATTAAATTTTTTAATAAAAAGATATAGAGTGGCCAACTGGATTTTTTTAAAAAAAGACCCAACTATATGCTTCCTATAAAAGACTCCTCTCACCTCTAAGTACACTCATAGATTGAATGCTAAAAAATGGAAAAAAGGTATTCCATCCAAAAGGAAATCAAAAGAACAGGGATAGCTATATTTGTATCAGATAAAATAGACTTGAAGTCAAAAGCTGTAAAACAAGACAAAGTCATTATATAATGATAAAGCAATCAATTTATCAAGAAGTTATAACAATTGTAAATATATATGCACCAAAAATCAGAGCACCTAAATACATCAAGGAAATGTTAAGAGACCTTAAGAGAGAGCTAGACAGCAATATATAGTAGGTGATTTAATAACCCACTTTCAACAATGGGCAGATCGTTTGGACAGAAAACAATAAGGAAACATTGAAACTTGACCTACACTTTCGACCAAATGGACTTAACAGACATATTCGGAACATTGTATTCAACAGAAAAAGAATGTATGTATGTTCTTCTCCAGTGCACATGGAGCATTGTGTAGAACAGATAATATGTTAAGCAACAAAACAAGCCTTAACAAATTTAAGAAGAATAAACATGTATCAAGTATTTTTTTCAGCCACAATGGTATTAACCTAGAAATCAATAATAGGAGGAATTTTAGAAATATGCAAATCTGTGGAAATTAAACAGCATGCTCCAAAACAACAAATGGGTCAAATAAAAAATTAAAATAGAAATTTAAAAATATTTTGAAATAAATAAAAATGTAAACTTAACATACCAAAATGTATGGGATGCAGCAAAGGCAGTTGTAAGAGGAAAGTTTATGACAGTAAATGCCTATATCAAAAGAGACTAAAAGAAAAACTAAGCCTTAAGTAGAAGGAAGGAAGGAAATAAAGATAACAGCAGAAATAAATGAAATAGAGACTAGAAAAACAGTAGAAAAGTCTTCAATGGAAGTAAGAGGTTTTTTTTTTTTTTGACAAGGTAAAAAAAAATTCACAAACCTTTAGCTAGACTACAAAAGAAAAAGTGTCTAAATAAAAATAAAAGAGGAGATATTATATGCGATACCACAGAAATACAAAAGATCATAAGAGACTACTGTAAACAATTATATGCCAACAAACTGGATAACCTAGAAGAAATGAATAAATTCCTAGACGCATCCAACCTACCAAGACTAAATCATGAAGAAATAGAAAATCTGAACAGGTTAATGATGAATAAGAAGATTTGATCAAATATAAGAAATATCCCAAAAAATAAAAGCCAGGACCTGATGGCTTCACTGCTGAATTCTACCAAACATTTAAAGAGGAACTAATATCAATCTGTCTCAAACTCTTCCAGAAAAAATTGAAGAGGAGAGAGAACTGACAAACTCATTTTACTAGGCCAGCATTACCCTGATACCAAAGCCAGACATGGACACTACAAGAAAAGAAAATTGCAGGCCAATATCCCTGATGAATATAGATGCAAAAATCCCCACAGAATACTGGTAAACTGAATTCAGTAGCACAGCGAAAGGATTGTTCACCATTAGTAACATAGTACTGGAAGTCCTAGCCAGAGCAATTAGACAAGAGAAAGAAATAAAAGGCACTCAAATCAGAAATGAAGAAATTAAATATTCTCTGTTTGTAGGCAATATTGCCTTATATTTAGAAAGCCCTAAAGACTCTATCAAAAAATGGTTCAAATTAATAGACTCCACAAAAATACAAAAAATCCAAAGGGATTATTATAAACACAAGTCAGAAACCTCTATGCACACAAGTCAGAAAACCTAGAAGAAATGGGTAAATTCCCGGAAACATGCAGTCCCCAAGATTGAACCAGGAAGAAATTAAAATTCTGAACAGACCAATAATGAGTTCTGAAATTGAATTCAGCAATAATAAGCATTCCAACCAAAAAAAGCACCGGACCAGATGGATTCACAGCTGAATTCTACCAGAGATACAAATAAAACCTAATACCCATCCTACCGAAATCATTCCAAAAAATCAAGGAGGAGGGAGTCCTCCTCCACTCATTCTATGAAGCCAGTGTCATTCTGATACCAAAGCCTTGTAGGGACACAACAAAGAGGAAAACTTCAGGCCAATATCTCTGATGAATATAGATGCATAAATTCTCCACAAAACACTAGCAAAATGAATTCAACAGTGGATCAAAAAGTTAATTCACTATGATAAAGTAAGCTTTATTCCTGGAATGCCAGTTTGGTTTAATATACATGAATCAATAAGTGTGATTCACCACATACACAAAATTAACAACAAAAACCAAATGATCATCTCAATAGATGCAGAAAAGGCTTTTGATAAAATTAAACAACTCTTTATGTTAGAAGCCCTCAATAAAGTAGGCATGAAAGGAACATACCTCAAAATAATAAGAGCCAAGTATGACGAACCCACAGCCAACATTATACTGAATGGGCAAAAGATGGAAGCATTCATCTTGAGAATTGGAACAAGACATGGATGTGTGCTCTTACTACTCCCGTTCAACATAGTACTGGGGCAGATGCCCAGGAGCCATGGCCAAATCTGCTCTTTTTGTGGTGATATCTGCTTTTCTGTGGCCTTAAAATGATTGTTGTTTTAAGTTTGTATCTTATCTGGTGGAAATAAGAAAAAAAAATCTAGCTTTCATAAATCTAGTATTGTTTACTCCCACTTCTGCATGGGGGCCTCGATATATTCATAAGCAAAATTCATAGATAATCACTAACTTAGGATTTGCCAAGCCCCAAGTGCCAGGCCTCTCTGGAGGTGCAGCTCGCAAACACTAAACAAAACAGACCAGAGATCAGGTAGCAGAAGGAGTGAGAGAAGAGACATGCATGGTTGGAATCATTCCTAGTCTCCACCTCAAAGATTTAGATTCTCTGGTGGGCCCAGGAGTCTTTTTAACTCTCGAGTGGTTCTGATGCAGCAAGGCTTGGGATCCTGTGGCCTGAATGGCCCACGAGCCTGCATCCTAGTTGGCTTCACATAAAATAAGAAAGTCTACGGATGGCCGTTAGGACAGAAAGATAGAAAGAACCCCTGTGGGGACTGAAGTTCCAGTCTTGGCTCTGTCCATACTGATAATACTGACCCAGTTGTCAGCTCCTGTGACCTCAGTTTTCTTATCTTTGAAGTCAGAAAATTGGGCAAAATAATCTCTAATCCTTTCCTGTTATGAATTTATTTTGACTCTTTGAGAACTGAATTTCTTATTACAGGGTAAGTATATTTTCAGAGGAATTGGGATCAGTCCCCAGAGAAGAGTTGTGATATTTTTAGCATCACCTCCTGATTCTGTTAAGGAATTGTCATCTGGCTCTCTCATCTTCCCTCCCTCCATGAGGTCAGTGATCTTCGACCCAGAGACTGATCTCTCCTTGCAAAATTCTAAGAAATCTCTCTTCTTACTTTCTGCTCTTCCTGCCACTGAAAGGCTCAGAATCACAGTTTTCAAACCTGGCTGTAGAATAGTCTCCTGGGAGCTTTTACATATATTAATACCCAGGATAATTAAATCAAAATCTTGGGGGCATGGCTTAAGCAGCATCTGCATTTTTAAAGCTTCCTGGTTGCTGGTGATGCCCAAGAACATTCAAGCCACTGAGCTAGGACACCCCAGAGCTAGTCTGAATTCAGCAGGGGTGACTGAGTCGCTAGATGAGTCTTTCCCCAAGTGAAAGAAAGCATTGAGAATGTAGAGTTGGATTTGCTGTATCGCCAGATCTTCTCTGCTTAGACCTACATGCCAGCATTTTAGATACACCAGATCAATGCTTACAGGAGCAAGCATCACATAAACGTAGAAGTAAAATGTAAAAGCCAGGCCAAGTGGTGCCACCACATACCCACTTGTTGACCTAGGTCAAGTCTCTTGAGATTCCATTTTCTCTTTTGCAACGTGAAGCTGGCATTTCCCTTTGACCTTAGAGGGTTCTTTGATCCACCTAGGTGGATCAAATAGGATAATATTTGTGAATATGCTCTATAAACTTTAAATACAATGGGCGTAAACACCTTGTATGTGGAAGTTCACAAATTCAACAAATATTAATGTCAATTATTCCCAAATTAATGTATAGATTTAAGCCAAACCAATACCAATCAAAATCCCAGCAAGCCTTTTTCTTTTTTTGAGACAGAGTCTTGCTCTGTCACCCAGGCTGTAGTGCAGTGGCATGACCTTGGCTCCTTGCAACCCTGCCTCCATGTTCAAGTGAATTCTCCTGCCTCAGCCTCCCAAGTCCTCCCGGACTACAAGCACGCACCTCCACGCCCAGCTAATTTCTGTACTTTTTAGTAGAGACAGGGTTTCACCATGTTGGCCAGAACGGTCTCGATCTTTTTACCTTGTGATCCACTTGCCTCAGCCTCCCAAAGTGCTGAAATGACAGGTATGAGCCACCCCGCCCGGCCTCAAGCTTTTTTATAGAAA